AGGAAAACCAGATGGATTCATAGAAGCCTCCAACTTGTAGCTTGTAATGGTTTTTAAAAATCATCTTATAGAATTCCATAGCAAGGGTATGCCTTTCTATTAAATTCTACCAAATATTTGTCAAGGGGGAAAGCCAAAAGAATTAAACAACTTGCCTTAGATCACACGAAGAACATATGGCAAAGCCTGCATATAATTATGCATATGACTTCTTGGGCATATCTACACAAGACATTTACTGCACAGTTGACTAATTAACTGCACAGTAAACATCTCAGCATCTACACATGCACCCATATTAGGGTCCACAAAACTAATAAACTCTGCAGCAGGTTAGGAGTTCTATACTAGTTCTAACCTGCTGTAGAGTATTTCATGCACAGCAGTGCATATGTAGCTGCGACTGGCCAGGGCACAAGCAGTATCAGCACAGGGGCTGCCTGCTGACTAACCCCACACTGAACCACTCTCGTGCCTCTGCTAGCCCCTCCACAGTACATGAAGCCTGGTTGGAGCAGCTCTGGGCTGGCAGGCTGACCCCCAGGGTTCCCTGTGAGCCTAGGCTGCTTTGACCAGGCTCCATGTGCTGCGCATGAATAAACTCCAAAGCAGTATGCTCTGGAGTTATTTGCTCCCAGGCAATAAGCTGTGGAGTTTATTCGTGCGCATTAATCACGTGTAGATGTGCCTCTTGTACTCCATTTTAGTCACAAGTCCTTCCTTCCTCCTCTTCATCCAGAAGTAGCTTTGTGAAGTATGCCAAGTATCTTATTCAACACTCCTTACTCAAGCAAGACTTCCACTGATTTTAGTAATATACAGGGATCCTGGTTTTCTCTGATTTAAAAAAATCCCCAATTTTCAGTTTAAAAAACGTAACCCAAAATCCAATTTTTTCTGTGACTAAATCGAAACGCCGCGAATAGATATATAATGGTGTTTCATTTTAAACATGGAAAAATGTGGATTTTGGAGTACTTCTTTTGATCCAAAAATTGGAGATTTTTTAATCAGAGAAAACCAGGATCCCTGCTTTGGATCAGGCTCTAACTGCTCTTGTTGCCTTCAAATGTCAATTCTCTTCTATGGGAGCTATACACACTCATTCAAAGCAGAATTATCTAGCTCTCATGACAATAAATACATGATCCTTTGAGATTAAGAAAAGAGCTTTCTACAGCTTAAAAAGAGTAATTTAGCCCATCACATTTTAGTTAACCTGCTCTACATCTTCCTTAGCTTGTCCTTATTGCTTCAGGCTTTATTCTCTGGCCCAGTTTATATATAAAATTTAGATTTATATTTGATTAATTAAGTTTGGAAATTGATTTCTTTAGCCACCTTCTAGGAGTACTTATAGCCTAATTAGAGGTATTTCCAAACTGCTTGAAATTGTTGAAATTCTTGCATTTAGTCATAATAAATAGCTCTTACTGAATCACCTTTCATCAGAATATCACAAAGTGGTTTACAAAGAAGGTCAGTATATTTATTCCCATTTTATAAATGGGGAATAGGAAGATACAGAGATGAAGGCTAAGTACAGAAAGTCAAAAAGCCTTAGGCTGAATCCATCTAATCTTCATAGGTTTGTCTAAACTGTGTAGATTGAACCAATGATCAAGTGAACAGACATTCACTTTTGATTCTGGATATGCAGCCACGTGTCTGTAGTGGCCCAGGCCAGAAGCCAGGGGGGCACTAGAGTATGCCTCCCTGCTCAGCTGGAGCAGACAGTTTGGGCCTAGGCTAGCCTGCCCACCCTTTGAGGGGGGCTTGCAGGGGAGGTACAAAGCATCCTGGGATGCTATGGGACTGTGGGCACAGATAGAAATGACAATTTTCATCTGATCTGGCTCCAGAAAGTACTCTAAAGCCGTGGCCAAACAGAAGTGCATGGCTGCAGACTGCTTTAAAAGGGCCTGATCCCACAAAAAGCTGAATCCTCATTGCATGAGGGTTCAGATGAACACATTTCATCCCAGCCTGTTGCTGTTTTCAGAATGGGAGGGGGGGAAGGGAGTAGAGGGAGTTTGGTCTGGGTTTTTTTCAGCTGATGCTGGAGGGTGGGCAGGTGTATTGGACTCTCCCCCAGGTTGGGGGGTGGAGCTCCAATCCACCAACCCCGCCCTCCAGCTCTGGCTTGGGAAGAGCCCTCTCCCAAGAATGAGCTCCCTCTGTTCCCTTTCCTCTCTCCCATTCTCTCCTCCCCCTTAGGTCCTCTAATTTTCATTCTGAAAACAGTGTCTGGACTGGGAGGGAGGAAGGAGTGGTGTTGCTGTGGAGACTGAGCTGCAGACTCTCAGACCACAGCTGGAATCCCCAACTCCTGAAGGCAGCGTATCATTGCAACTCGTAGCACTTCCTGCAGAGCGTTCTTAAGTTGCAATAGGGAGCTGCTCTTCTGTCTGTGCCCAGAGTGTAAACTTGAATCTGGAGGGGATCTGGGACAGAATTTCAGTAAAACAATTTAACTTAAATCAGTGAAATTTGATACTAAATCCATCAAGGTTTATCTTATACTGTTTTTGGCCATTTTGACGCAGTTTGTGTGTTCTGTTGTGTTACAGATTTGAATCAATTTCCAGCCACTTATACCAGTTTATGTGTAATTCTGTAATAGCTGAAATGATTTGCCCAAGGTTTCCTAGCAGACAGATAGCAAAGCTGAGTCTCAGAAGTCTCAGCCCAGTGTTCTGGCCATAGGACCACATCAGGTCTCAGCTACTGTTTCTCACAGAAGTGAATTATATTTTGAAAACCATGTATTTTATTAGTTTTGCAATGATGTTGTGATTTAACAGGATTCACAACTAACAAAGAACACTGAAAAATAGTGTTTCTAATGTGTATTAGCTACTATTTCTTACATAATAAAAGCAGTTGCTAGGACGTCCATCACTTAAAATTCACTGCCAAGGAAAGCAAATGTAGGAAGCTTCTAACTAAGCTCACCAAAACAATTCCTGTTTGAGTTATCTTTCTCTGCTTTCTTCCTGACTTGAAACTAGTACAGTTAATAGTTCTCTCAAGTTACCAGATGTTTGTGTGAAAATATGTTCAGCTGAAAAATACAGTAATTAAACTATTACATAATCCAGTGATTAAATTTTCATAGGAGCATGCAAACTATCCATGATGTAACCAGCCGAATGGGATTATAGAACAAGAAATAAAATAAATTTCAAACTAAAATGCTTTTTTTCTGAAATACCAGCTAATTTTCCAACCAGCCTTGAGTATCACAATTAATTAGCATGGCTTGATATGTCAGGCAGCCAGCCAGTCTTAACTCTGACCCTTCAGTCAAAACAAAGCCAAAGTACTAATAGTCATTTACACCACTGAACCTTCTTCCCTTATCATTTAAGTTCCAGCTCCTAAAAAACCATGAAAACTTGGTGGGAATGTAATCACTTTAGCAGATAGGACAGGTTGCAGTATCAAAAACTATTGGTTAAGGTGGATGATCGAACTGCAGCAGATACAGCTGACTTGCCAGAATGATCTCTCAGTATAACGGCACCATTCATCTGATATAATATGACATACATTATTTTTTTTAAGCAAGAAGGACCACTTAGAATGTGGAGAGGCATCTTTGGTACCAAACACTGGTGGACACTTTTCTAGGGTTGGTATTTTGTATTTTTCTTTCTTTGTAAGAGAAAGAGGGTTAAAATGCAGCACAGTGCAAGTGTTTCAATGAGTAGCTCATTCTCCTTCTTTTCCTGGATCCTGCCTTCTTCTCAAATATCTCTGAAGGCCAGTAGCTATTAGAATGGAAATGTATTGTAGAAGGTGCTTTAGTCTCAATGTATGAATGCCTTCCTGGCAGAGGCATAATTGGCTGGCACTGTACCCTGTGCAATGGCAGCATATGATGCAGTAGCCAAAGGTTCACTGCTGCAAGTTGAGGTATCACTTCCTTTTTTGCCAATGATATGAGTGTTGAATGGCCACAACAGTAGTGTTTGGCAACAAAAGGGAGGTGACATCTCCCCCAGCAACAATAAACTGCTGGTCATGTGCCACTGGCAATTCTCTGTCCTGCCCCCACACTGCTAAGCCGGAGCCATAGCCCAGACTGGAATCAGAGTTACCTTGGCCCTGTGCTCAAGGAACAGTGAATTAGGCCCACTTATTTCATATATATACAATCACTAATTGTTATCTCTGTACTAATATGCCTATCTGTCTCTAGAATATTTACAGTATTTTCTCAGCTTCAGGACCTAATTCTACAAGTGACTCTCCACAGGCAGCTCCTATTCCTAACATCCCATTAAAGATAATGGGGTACATGGGCCCCAGGGTCTGCTTGTACAGTCCCTGGCAAGATTAAGTGATCAAATGGTCAAGTAGGCAGGGTAATGGGATGGGAACAGAGGTGGCCTGGGTTTAGTCTTAACTCTGCCACTGACTGATATTGTAACGTCATTTAGGTTGTGAGCTTTTACAGCATAGCTTACAGTTCCTAGAAGTATAAGGTACTGATCTTGGATGAAGCCTCTAGCTTTACCATAAAAGCAAGTAATAAATAAGTAGGAGCAAGGCCTTATACAGATATTATCAGAGAACTTTACTCACCTTTCATGTTCAGTGGCCTTGGTTTAAATCAGTTATATGACCACCAGATGTAAAGCACTTCAGTACTCACTTCAGTGGAAGGGCTTTCAAAATCTGAAGTGTTATTTTTCCCCCTGTCATCTGGACTGCTTAAATAGCAGCTACATATGTTTATATTTTAAATTTAGCTTACATTTTAAACGAGTTCAAGACTTAAGTTAAAGTGAAAATAATTTAAAATGTCAAAGCCATTGAAGAAAGCAGCAAGTATGCCTTTCACCTCAGCACTATATGTGCTACTTTTAATGCCACAAGTGGTAAATGCAAAGAGTGATAAAGAACTTTGTTTAATGACAGTAATATTTGTAAAAAAGATTCTGTTTGACAATATCAGATTCAGATAAACAAATACAGAGGCAAGAGAGAAACAGTGACAGCAGGGCCATCTCAAGAAAACACGGAAGGAAGAACAAAGGACAGAAAAACTTTATAATAGGTCCATTTTACTATTTCATTGTATTATTATGTTAATACTGAATGTGGTTCCAGTAGAGAGAGTATTAAATCAGAAGAGATATACATTTTCCCCTCTTGTAGCAAAAGAACAAGTTTTCAAGTAATATTTAAATGCTAGCATTTCAAGATAGTAATAACTGATAGTACAAATGCTTGTGGCCAAGATGGACTAGTTTGTGTTTCACTTCAGTGTTGTAAAACTAGTATGGTGAAACCAAACAGCAAAATTAAAAAGGTGTCCCACAAAAAAGGATTCATGTGAGTGACTTAGGAAAGCAAATTGTCAAAGCATATTAAAAATAAATAATGTCCTGGGATCTTTTAACTTATTTTTGTAGTTATTACTAACCACATACTGATTTCAAATCTAAATATTGTACAAAACTGCCAGATGTGAAACTTGGCAGGCTTGAAACTAGCAGCTGACAAAAATTAGAGCAGTGAATCATGATCATATAAATATAGTATTTCATATGTACTGCAGGCAATATATATATTGCAAACACTCAACAAATATACAAAGCTTTATCTATCTTGTTTCAAATACTCTAAATTCACATACCTGTGACCTTTATAAACCAGATGTATAATGCAACAGTGCTATTAAAAACGTATTTAATTTATTTAATTAACTAAAAAAAAGAGGTCAGCAGAAGATTGATCTGTGTTGGGCTCTGCAGCTACACCTGGTGTGCTAAAACATTCATTACACAGAATACCCACAAATTACACTGCAAATTACCTGCATGTACCTGCAGATTGTAGTGGCACCTGGTGGGCAAGGGGGCACAGGACACTTAATTTAGTGAGTTGCCATGTACACATGACAGACTTTTGGTCACAATGGGATAGTTTGCCACGTGTCAAACTAAACTACATCAGAATGTAGTCTATTTTGTCATGATGTGGGACAAATTGAGACACCCAAACCTCATGCACATGTATATGGTGACGCCATTAAGCTACACAAATGGCAATTTGCGTCATGTGTACATGGAAAAATTGTCATGCGTACAAACACCCTCTCAATCTCTTGGAAAGGTAATGTCAAATTCAGATGTGGTCTGCAGTTTGCTGTATGGGCTTATACATAGTCACTGAAGTATGAAGGAAATGTACACTTGTATAATTTACTGAGGCACTGTGAAATAAGTTAAGATTTAAACTGGTTTACACTTTAGGTATGCTCTGTTTTTATTAGGTCAGTTTTAATTTCTAAATAATTTGTCAAGGGCCTTTACTCATATAAATTGTCCAGGAACAAATTGGAACTGAAGAATCAGTTCCAAGAGTAGTAAATTATGTATGTCCTAACAAATTCCTCCAATTAATAAATTACTGAAATGAAGTGCTAGTTTTGACTTTTCTCCCTCCTTGTAAATATAATAGATACCATTTTTATTGGTCAAAGCCCTTGTGTCTAGTTTTTGTGGAATATTCAGGGAGCACAGGGAGAAATGTCCTTTAACATTCTGCTACGTTTAGTTTTTAGGGAGGAAAAAAGGGACTGATTCAGTGATTGTAAGTTTATCCTGCTGCCTTATAATTAACTGCATTTTCCTCTCCTCAATTGTTCCTTTATTTATTTATTCATTCTAATAAAAGATATTTAGACAAAAAAGTGTGTCTAAAAGCCATGCCAGATGTTCAAAAATAAATAAATAAAAAGCTATTGGTCATTTGACACTGGATCCAACTGAAATCAGGACAGTGTTTCTGAAAATGTTGGGGTCAGATCTGGCAAGATTACAACAGTGATAAAAAGAGCTGATTTGTAGTTAGTGGCCTACCTAAGTAAGTTTCTTTTTTGGTTTTTTTTCTAGTGGGCCTTTGCATCAACTGTCAGTCTGTGAGCCCCAGTAACCATGATGGGGATTCTTGCCTGTAGAAGTCAGGATCAAGTCTATCACTGCTGGAAAAAGTATGGAAATTTGCATTATAGCTTTTTTATCTACTATGTACTGCATAGGGGAATAAACTTGTTGTTGTTGTGGTCTATTGCCTTCTAATATTATACCTTTCACCTTTTACTGTCTGAGGCCCCAAGGCCTGGAATAGGCTCCCTCCAGAGGTGGTGCAAGCACCTACTCTGGACTCTTTTAAGAAATGTTTGGAAGCTTATCTTGCTGGGATCCTTTGACCCTAGCTGACTTCCTGCCCCTGGGGCAGGGGGCTGGACTTGATGATCTCCTGAGGTCCCTTCCAGCCCTAATGTCTATGAAATAAAATCACATTATAAAGGAAAAGTGATGGAGCTTGATTGTTGTACTTTATAATATACCATGTGCTTATACACTTGTGCGTGATGTACAGAGGCCATCTTTTGCAAAGCATTTAATATTTCCCTCCTACACTATTTTTTTAAGAAAGGATGAAAAACTGAGGGAATTAGCAGCAGCATTCCTACAAGGAGAAACAACTGAAGGGAATAACTTTTTTTTTCTTTTCTGAGGAGCAGGGTTTAATATACTTGGGAGTCTACCTATGCCCAGGTGATTGTAAAACACAGTTGGCATAAGTTCATGTGTTTGTGAGAACTTTACTCTGCCATACATTGTTGCTTATAATAGGCAACATACTTGGAGCTGAAGGCTAACAAAATTTAGAAACCAATATATTTTAGTTATAACATTTGGGTACAAATTTTGCATTCGGATGAATGCATAGAACTTCTGCTCCAATGAATGTGGGTTGTGTGTGCATATCAGAATACAGAGCATTTGAAGTCTATATTCCCTAAAAAACAAAACAAAAAGCACTACTTACAAAGAAAACTGACACCAAGGATAGAGTTGTGTTTATTTAAATAGGAGTAAGTCATATAAAAGATTGTTAAAGGTGACAGAGGAAATGCTCTTTCCTGAACTGAAATGGGAAATTCAAAGCCAAGAATCTCCAGCTTGGCCAAGATGCACTTTGCAAAAGGGTAGAGAGGGAATGGACAGTTTTATTGCTGGTTTTGTTGTGGGAGAAACCAAGATAATTTGGTGCACAAGGGAAGATCTCTTATCAATTGTTTCCCAGAATCCCATTATCTGTGGATCAGTGTGACAGGACATGAAATACTGCAGTGATACTTATTCTGTCACTGTGTATTTAGGTACTTCTTATTGCATGAGCAGATACATGCTTTAGCACAGTACTAAAATTTTTTAGAAAATGTGCATAAATTAGTTACAGTAAATGAGTAAAGTTAATCATCATGTATTATCAAGTCACAAAGCATATGTCTAGATTTCCTTTTCTTGTATTTAACCATGGGAAGATTTACAGTTAATGAAAAATCAAGAAAGCAGGCTAACACAGTCTTGCAAAAACTCAGATACCAACACTTTTCTTAGCAATTTCAACCTGCTCTGCAGTAAATGTTGTTTAGCTCTTTAGATGTCACAATACATCTTATCTGAGTGTTTCAGGAATTCATAGTCCATAGGAATACAGTAGCTCACAGACTCTAGCTTAGCTGATTTACATATATATTTTGAGACCTCATTAACCCTTTAGTTGGGCATAAATATGCAAAGCATATATGTCTGAGACATTAAGTTTCATTTAAATATATACAGTCAAAAACTGATTATCCAGAAACACAGTTATTATGAATTAAAATCCCAGTACATTTTATTAATTATCATTTGTATTTATGCTACAAAGTTGCACCAGAATATCAGACTACATTTTCCGTATCTACCTAATGTTCTTGGGATGTAGGTAACACAGGTACTAATAGATTAGATTCAAAATGTGCATATTTATCTATGGTACAGTAGAACCTAAAGTTCTGTTCATAGTCCACAGTAGGCACTACATACAGTTACTGTAGGTGATTTGTTTAAAGACCTTGAAGAAGATGCAGCATCCCCCTGATTCCTATCTTTTACGAAGCTGTGGTACATGTGACTGTGTTGTGGCCTGAACTGTATTTTACTAATCAGATATTTAGACAGTTACTTGCTTCAGGGCCTCCAACTAGCGAGAACCATGGAGAACTCAGCCAATATTTTTTGTGGGGGGGAAAGAAAGAGAAGAGGCAATAAAAGAGACTAGAAGGAGATAAAATACCAAGAGAGGAAACCCAACAGAGATAAGAGGATGAGGGTAAAATGGAGGTAGAAGAAAGGAACAATTCTGATCTTTGATAAGAAAATGCATATTATTGCTGCATATCTTGAACTTAATCTAAAGAGTATATTATAAGATTCATGATGACCTGAGGCTGCATTTTGGAGATCAGAATCAGATGGTGTAAAACAAAACAGGACTGTGATGAAAAAAGCTCTAAAATGTATCTTATTCAAAGTGTTTTGCCTGATTTACCTCCCCTTGTTTTATTTATCAAAAAATATAGTAAAAATGGTCAAACATTTTTCATTCCAGAATGCAATGCCAAGATTCACCATGATGTAATATTTTACAGTTGTGGTATAAACCCACAAAAAGCCTTTTTTTAAAAAAATAGAAATGCTGACAGAAACTTTTAGTGTAACAGTGCCAGAAATTCAGACCATAAAAGTTACCAAAATACCATTAACAATCCTTAGTGATTAATTTTAAACCTTTTACTATACAGGGAAATAAATAACACTACTGAAGATGCCAAAGACTGGAGTGTATATACATACTTTCTACTACTTTTAGTTTGAACTACATGACTGACCTACATAACTCTTAAATATAGTATCTGTGCAGCCTGGTTTATTGCAAACGGTTCAAACAAGTTGATTCCCCAGTTACTATTATAGGCTGTTTGGGGCTGTATGCTGATTTTTCCACCCTCTTAGGGTATGTACAGATGTGCTTTGGGAGGGGGAGGGGGGCTTTATAGCGTGCTGAATGAGCTTTAGTTTAAAACGCCCTGCTGCCATTTTTCAGCGTGGGGACGCTGATATATGTGACACTGAAATGTGGTAGTGACCATGCTCCAGCCATCTTGATTAACTGAGTCTGCTCCGACCTGCTGGAATTATACAGTGTGTCAGAGCAGGTTCCTTGCACATGTATAGGAGCCCTTAGTCTTTATAACAATCTTGAAATAAAAGGTATTTTTGTTTGTAATGTTAACAATTTTATACCAATAGGAGCTTCACATCAACTGTGAAATACCAAAAAGGAGACTGTTTTGTATTTCTGTGCTCTGAGAACTCTTGTTTACTGATGGGTTGTCAAAGATCCAGCCCACAGGCTGGGTCTCGCTTGCAGAGCTGCAGCATTTGTCCCCTCGTGCTGGCCCTGGGTCCTGAGTTGTCCCCCAAACAGCACAGGGTGGGTATTGAATTGGCCCCGGGCTGAATACACACCCACTTCATGACCCTCACTACACACAGAATCTGTTTGGGGCCAGCTTGGAACTTTGTTCCCAATGGGGCAGAAACTTACTGCACTGCTCTCTGTCTATTTTATCCAATCCCTGAGTGACAGTGAGAACACCAGAGAAGGTGTTTGGATAATATCTGGCCTATGGTACAGTGGTAAGAGCATCAAGCTAGGAAGTCAGAGAGATGAAGGAACTGCAGCTTCCTGGGAAAGTGCCCTAGCCACTCACTTATTGAAGCTAAAACATGGGAGCACCTTCCTCCCCCAGGACTTAGGCTGGAGTAGGCTATGTGCCCAGCTAGTGTGTAGCCCCACTACACATACTCAGTGTACATACATGGTCTTAGGCTGTCACTGCATAAAGCGCGGGTCAAAAATAGCCAAGCAGATGGCTAGGAAATTGCCATTTAGACACACAAAGCCAAACAAAATTCCACTCATTGTGTCTGAGGCATCCAGGCCTAAACCTATTGTCCGCTTCAGAGGTTACTGTCAAGAGTGTGAACCAGACCTAGAGGATGGTAGAACAGTGCATTGTGCAGAATGCTAATGCAATGCAATTTCCTCAGTTTATCCTGTCATGTTGGACCATTTGGGTTTTGTCTTCAGTACCAAGGATACCACACTGCAGTAGCCCTCCCTGAAGGTAACTAAAACCATGTTATTACCCTTACCACCAATTGGTCTGTAGCTGAAAGAAAGGTCCTTAAGCTGATATTTTCAAACAGGTGCTTACATTTAGACTTCTAAATCCATACTTAGCAACTTAAATAAGTGGTTTGATTTTTCAGAAGCAAATTCATTTGGTCTTACAGTGCTTATGTTTAGCATTCTGTAAACTATATATCTCATAGGAAAAAGACCTGTTCCTTTATTAACCATGCTACAAAGACCTGTACAGATTATTTTTTAATGCTTTGCTTATTATTAAAGAACTACATAGTATTATGCATAGTATGACATGCATAGTATGCCTATAATTCCACTTTCTGCAAATATCTTAAAAACACATTAATGTGAGTGAGGCATCTCAGTTTCAGTCCTCATTCAGGCATGTATGACAAGATCATCATTCACATTTGCCCCAGAGACAGAATGTGCAAGGTTGTGTTATTTATAGCTTCTCCTTTTGGCCATGTACATTTCAAATAGTTAAAGTTGAAGGCAGGAGTAGCTAATTCATTTCTAATAAAAGCTTCATTCTACATATTTACCAGAAAAATTAATCTAAGCTTTGGATCAACTGAAGTACATGGGAAATAAACAGGGAAAAAAGAGCAGGAATAATTCACAAAACAAAAGCTTACTTACTAAACTGATAAATCATGTATTCATTCAGGAATAAACAGGCATTAGATACACTCCCAGCGAAGGCAGTATTTCAGAAAATTCATGTGAGCATCTTTCAGGCTGAATATTATTTGTATTTCAGTAGTGCTTGTACCTGCAAGTGAGATTAGCACCTTACTGTGCTATGTGCCATATAAAAACATAATAACACAGAATTCCTGCCCGAAAGAGCTTATGGTCTAAATTGTCAAGGTAAGCTGTAAGAGCTTTGGTAAATTTCCCCTCTGTGGGTTGCCCACCTGTCTGCTTGTGTTTGGGTCCCAATATGACATAGGACCCAACAAATTAGTAGGACTTAGCATTTTCCATCAGAATAACTGCCAACTCCCAGGCTTGGT